ATGCATACACACATGCATACCTATGTATATTTATACGTATATTTACATGTAATCTATATACACACATACACAACACGCTTAAGACTGCTTCAAACCCACAGTGAATGCGTGATGCTATCCTTTGCAAGCCGGATCAGGAGGCTCCAACTCCCGCAGCTCCGGCTCCGGCAACCGGCAGGGCCCAAAGTGTTTTGGGGTTTTCAGGGGTTTAGGGGTTTGGGGTTTGGGTATGTCAGGGCTGAAATTGTATTTGCATGGTTCACAGCACAAGGGTTTGGGATTCAAAACCGACGAGCTTGGGGCTCGGGTCAGACTTTAGGATGCAGTTTCGGCTTGAGGCTTGGATTTTCGGGTTGATGTTCTTCAGGATTCTAGAGGTGCATACAACTGTTCATTGGATGTTGGGCCTTGCGGTGGTTTCGATGCAGGCTTGCGCAGGCGACTTGAGGCAGATTCAGGGAGCGAGTTGCTCGATGCTTGGTCAGACAGATCTCACAGGTGATTTGCTTCACCATTGTGTTCTCTGACTCTGCTTTTGCCATGTGTTAGAGGCTCCCAGCATAGAAGTTGCTAGTGTCCCTGAGTCTGCAGCGTATTGAAGGTGTACTGTTTCTTTCTTGCTTTCCATCTCTGGTAACTCTGATGTGGGCTTTCATGTTTTTCCAGTGTGTCACCACTTACACAGCTTTGCTTGCCGATGACCACCAGAGGGTCGAGCCAGTTGCATTGACCTGGTCAGGCTTTGAGCAGTACCAGGGCATGATGCATCCTATGGGCGCACAGGGGCCCATGACTCCTGTGCCGCAGCTACTCGTCCAGTGTTAAGGTTAATAGTCGTCACCAGGTGGTCTAAAGCGACTCTGGAGGAGTAGTTTCCCACGGCGGGTACCACGCGTCGCGAGGTGGTGCCTGGTGCACTTGGCTAAGGAGGATACAGTTTGCCACCGATCAAAGCAGGGACTTGGTTCAAGGAAAGCCTGCAAATTCGATTTATTAGGGAGACTCTCGGGGACAGGCCTAGCGGCCGCAGCAAAAGCTCAATATGCTGATGCAGCCCCTCGTGATATGTCGTGATGGATCTGCAAGTGGCACGAAAGATAGGATTTCCACTTTGGGTGAGACTCTGGGGCTCCTTCGTTGTTAGCTTTGATGGTGACTAGGGCACGGGTGAAACTTGAAGCCGACCTGGTTGTGTGTCCGCTTATCTGACTGTCGGCGATGCGGCAAGTTACAGTGGTCAAGACTTCAATTCAAGGGGATCCAACATACACCCAACTGCAAAAAAGGTTCTATCAGCAAGTGCCGGCCTACCAGCCTGCCACGACCTACACCTATCAGTACCCAGGGATCCAGGCACGGTATCTTTTTGATTCTGTTTTTTGGACAAGTAGGCGGGTATGTATACGGTCTTGAGACTTTGCACATGTCCTCGATAAATTTTACTTGGGGCTCACTCTGGGAGAAGCAATCAGGAAAGCAGGAGAGCATGCGCTGCAGAAGTCACATGAGCTTAAAGCTACACCTGCAGCCTCGGCTACGTAACGTGCATGGAGAGGTTGCGACTCCAGCGCCGATTGCTTGAGCAGCAGCCTCCCGCTTGCTTGTGGTTTGCTTCTTCGACGGCGGCAGCCCAGTATCACTGTTAAGTGCCATTCGGGCTCTTGCTGCAAAACCCGCTGAAATCTGCCCTATTTCTGTGGTATGGCAATGCTGAGGCTGCCGGCTGTAAGTTGCCCGAAGCTCTGGAATCATACATTTGGAACTCCAAAGGAAACTACCTTAGCCCAAGCTCTGAACCATAACCTTCAAGTGTTGCTGCACGACAAGCCAAGGCTTCCTAAAAATTCTGCTGCAGCTTTTCTCAAACGGTGCCCATTCAAAGGAGTGGCGCGTGCCGCAAAGCTTGCTTTAAGCGGTTTTTAACCGGACCAGCTTGTGCTTAGGCGATCTAGGCCTGTGCAAGACGGGTGATGGCGATGGCCACTACAAATCCGACTGGCTACTACTGCCTACTGCTACTGCTA